ATGGAATGAATGGAAATGGCTTTAAAGTTATCTTGAGAAAAAGACGAACTTGGATCGTGAGGTTACAGCCATTCTCAAACCACAGCACTAACAAATCCCCCACAATAAAATGTACGACTTGCTGAAAGGAAAAAGAATGTCACCAAACCAGATAATTATGGTGCGTTTCAAGTTTTAACCTTGGCTGAAGCCAGAGGGGAAAACAATCTTGTTACTCAAAAGGTCACAATTTAATTAGGGCAATGGCCTGCCGCATTAGACGGGGTTCTAATCCTTAGTACAAGAGAACCGCAGAACCTGAAAAAAAACAAAAAAACACTCGGACAATGAACCGAAAGACTTTTTTTTTACAAGTTCCTCTTATTCTATGCCAATTCGCAGCGATTTTTTGCTCGGCTGACATATTCTATGGTGAACTGATGTGGTTTATTCCCATCTCTGCAGCAGTCTAGTACGAATATAGTTTTAAACTTATGGCAGGGAAAACAGTCATAAACCATTTATGCTGTTGGAGACTTTCGTTTATTAAGCATATGCATCTGGTTCTACCAACCTACTTCTAACTGTTATTTAATTTCTTATCCCTGGCTAAATTACAAGTAAAACAACTTTCTTTGCCAACAATACGATTGGTCCGCATGCTAAATAAATTCAATAACTAATAATAAAATTAATTACCTGGCTCAACAAGACGAGATATTCCATATAAACATACAAAGTATAGGCCAGCTAAATGTTATGCACCTACTTTTGTGCATTACGTAGGGTTTCAGACAGAAGTCTGTAGATGGAAAGGGGCTTAAAGGACAACTCCAGCCGTTGCAGATTTTTCTATGTTTTATTGGTAATACATGTAAATTGTTGAGAAAAAATAAATCTGGCCAGAATTTCCTTACATCAAATATAATATTGCTAGCAACTATAGAGGTCACATTTGTAGGCCTAAGTAAATAATGATCACGGGATTCAAATGAAATATCTCTCCTGTAGTGTAGTATAGTAATTTGTACCTTAAAGGCTCGATGCGTCATTTAGCGCTATCGGAATCCCTTGCAAACCAGTTACCACATTATTGCGAAATCCTATCATAATTCATAAGTGTTCGGTGCAATATAGTAAAATGTGATAAGAAATGACCATGATTAGAATCTCATCTCCGGAGTAGGCTGAGTTAGGCAACTTACACAAATACTAATTGTATAGTCCATGGAGTTTTAACAAGAATAGTAATCAGACAGGATTACGGAGTAGGTTTGAAGGCAATGTACATGTATATATAATACAATAAAATGTGTGTACGATTCGTAAATTGAAACTTATATCGTCTCTAACTTAACGTAGGCTTAACAGATTTTTTTCAATTGTGATAAGATCACGTCAGCTGTAATGTGACCGTACCGGTAGAGGCTAAAGCTAACATCTAATTTATGGAAAGTGTTAATGTTCACGAGAATCCTATAGATTTCAACGATTTCTGACAATTACTATCAGAATTATTACCCGTGTTTAGCCTTATTTGAGAATTTTTGTCGACCGTCTGTCTAGCTGCTAAAGATTGCTTGTCGTCTGACAGACTTAAAATCTGAACTATATTAACCCCAGGGAGAATCCTGATACATTCTGACGATATGGGCTGTTTGATTCGTTGCCTGGCAATCTGTCTTTTAAAGTCTTGTGCAATCTAAATTAAACAGCGCCGATGTAACTTCGTAGTCAAATCATGTAAAATGGAAAATTAGTTTTATACAAACTGTAATTGACAAGACTTTCAAAGCCCCAGTGCGTCTTTAAAAAATAATACTTATAAATACTAACTACTTAACCGGGCCTACCGAATACTTTCAGGCCCTAGAAGACCCAACTACTGCAACTCCTCTCGCAATATAATAACTGTAATTACAGTTCATATTTTTTGTCGATTTTGGACTTTTCTCTTTAATTCGCAAATTTCAAAATTTATTCTTACACTATAAATAAACTATGGGGGGGGGGGGGTAAAAATGATGATACAGCCGTGGATCCAATGTTAAGCAATAAGCATCACGATCATCGAAATCGTCTAAAAATTATTTTGAAAGAAATTGGTGTGCCTCCTTCCTTTATCTGGACCTAGAGTTTATAACAAGGCCATCCCCCCTCCCCTCCCAGGAACTATTCTTTTCAGAATCCTCATCCCCAGGGCGTATTTTAGCTCGTTAAGCTGACACACGTTACAGTTACACACGTGACACACCCATCCCCAAAATATGATATATCCCGACGGGTGCACATAGTGAAGTTGAACATCAAATCGGCGTAGGCCTCTTTGGTAATGATACGTCATTCACGCGGCCCTTGGATTTGCACGCAAAACTAAATCTCACCGATCAAGTCGATCAAAATTCACGTCTTGTCAACTTCAAAAACATCAAAGCCACCATGTGGGGAGCCATTTAATTCTGTTAGAGTTATTTCCCCTCAAAACAATTTTGCCCAGAAATAACGCCTGAATTTTCATGTTGGACGATTTTCCCGATAAAAAATAATAAGTCCTTTGTTGTATCTTATAGTATATTTTGTCGTCACTTGCGTCCGGGGTTCTTCAGTCCAACCTTTCTTGCGAACAATTTACAGACAGAATACATTTAGGCTATAGTCGGATTATGTTGAACTTCGCAGGAATTGTAGCCTATAATGGCATCAACTTTCATGATGACCTCTCCCTCGTCAAGATTTGATATTGAAGCAGAAATAAATCTTTTTAAAAAGCACAGAAAGAGTTCTCAAAATTGGGTCTATTTAAGTAATACTTGGGTTACACCAATCAGTTTGCGGTCATACCGGTGTTGCTAAGATTAAACTAGTAAGAACAGCGAATAATCATGTTTAAAGACTAAAACATAACACCTTTTACGCGCTTTTAATGCAGAAAGTGTCTGTATTCATATTGCATAATATGTACCAAATTACTGTGGGAAATTGATAAGTGAAATTAATAGATGCAGCGACTAGAAGACGCATTATTCGGAAAATGATATCTTTTTGATGCACCGGTACCAGAGTTCCGGATGTAGCCTATTTAGGTTGATCTTGAACGTTGCTTGTTAGTTAATAAACCAGTAAATGTTATTCCATATAGGTTTTTTTTATTTTAATCAACAAGGAGATAAACGAAACCATCAGTATTACTAACTGAATGGTTATCATTTATTGTAAGTTCGTTTTAAACGAATGGGCAAATGTAATGGAGTTTAACGTCCTATTGTTCTGCTCCGACTGTGCTAATGAATACTTGCATCCGAACGGCTAAAATAATGTTCCTTGCCAGGCCCTCCATCCTGCACCGCTACAAGTTTGTTTTAAACACATAACAAGATAATTGTAAGTGCAAGGCAACTGCACCACACAATTAGGCCCTACACAAAACAAATCTACGGACAAGACGCAATACGCAGAAATCACAAACGCAAATGTCAGATTAAGTTGTCCAGTGAATTTATGATTATAACCTCCAAAAATAGCAAGAAAATGTTTTTATGCATTTTTGCATTTATTTAGGCGTACTTTATAAAATCCCCAATGTTTACCAAATTTTGCTCACCGAAAGCGGTAAAATCGAAGTGGACGACATTTGCCTAATCAATGTACAAGAAAACCCTGAACTGTTGGTTAAGTACACTATAAATGTATTATGAGCATATAAATTAATGCTTTTGGGGGCATTCTTTCATTTGAAGTTATAGCCAGTAGTGTTAACTGGTTCCTTAAAGTGGTAAAATAAGTAAAATCCAAGATGGCCGACATTCACCAATTCAATGTACAAGAAAATCCCAAACGTTTGGTTTAATTAATGCTTTTGAGGTCATTCTTTCATTTGAAGATATACCCTGTTGTGTTCACTGGTCCTTTAAAGCGGTAAAATCTGGTAAAATCCAAGATGGCTAAAATTTGCCTAAACAATGTACACACAATAAATCTAAATGGTTTGTTTTTAAGACCCCATTAATGTATAATGAACATATAAATTAAGGCTTTAGAGGTCTTTCTTTCATATGACGATATACCGAGTGGTGTTAACGTTAACTTGTCTCTTATACCTTTTAGGGGTACCCCTCCCCCCCCCCCCCCCACAATCTCCGACCGATAACCCAAATTTACGAATAGGCTTTACCCGGCACTGTTTCATCATTATAGCACCTTTGGTATCCGAAGTTTTGTTTTTGGGGTCAATATTTCATAATGTATCAACAACAAAATAAAACCAAGTACGAACAATCCAACCCATTAGACAAAATTCGAAGTCCTAAAAAACGGAATAGGCAAAATAGTGTAATCAGCAAATGGACTGTTCACCGTGCACAAAATACACAACAAAGATATTGATATCACCATGCAAGACGAGGACACTTATTGTTAGTTTGGTACCTCAAATCAACCCAAAAAGTGTTGGTAAACTTAAGATTCATAATTGCTAAAAATTTAACTATGTCCTTTTTTTAATTTCTTTTAAACCGTTTAAAAAAAGAGAGAGGTTTAGGGAATATTATCATCTATGCATGTAAAAAAAAAGAAGAAAGAAACAATAAAAAAACATGTGTTGTTTTATTCAAAATACAGGTTTTCTGGGGTTGTTTTGGGTGAATCTATGGACCCACTGAAAGTGCTGCTATCTTTGCCCATACGGTATGCCAAAGCATAATCTCATCTCGGCGACCTCCCCCCAGTTCTATTGCAATCGCGTCCACAAACACAAAGGTAAACATAATTCATGAACAAAAAATGGTGTAGTGGCCCGTTTATCGCTCCATACTTTTGTCCACCGAAGGGAGAAGTTATTATTTTAAAGTAAAGATCCGTTGGGAATTTTATGAATCAATTAAAAGTGATAAATTATCGCTGTAAAAAGAAGAGAAAATTATATTAAATATCATCAACATACGTTGATTACCAATATTTTTACAAAATAAACATTACCTTTGAAAATAATGTTATGCATTACAAATTACTCAGAATGTAAAGATGGCAGAAATGTTGACATGAAAATTGCGGGAAGGAATATTAACTAGAATTCTATATTATCTTATTACCTACGTTCCTTTTAGTCTTTGTGAGTTTATTTGCAACGTATGCGTAAATATATCTTTTTTTGCATATAACTGTGGAGCTGTCATGTTATATATTTGGACGTGGCGTGTAATTTCTTAATTTCAGATCTACTTTCACTTTTCATTCTTATTCTTCTTATAAAAATAGAATCAGGTCCTAGAAAACAACAACAGCTGTCCCCGGTTAATTTTAGATTTTTTGGTTGTTTATAGTGCCCCTCAGTGTTAGCAATATTCCAACATTAATGTCAAATTTTATATAATCCGACCCATCCTTTATCCCACCGGCACGGTTTCATAATTAGGTCACAGTGCAAAGTGTGCTGGTTGGCACACACTAATCAGCTAGGTTCCAGTGTTCCACCTTCTCATTTGTAAAGGACTGTGGGCCTAGAAAGGAAAAGTGTATAGTCCTTTGGATGGGATGTAAAACCGAGATACTGTGTACACGCTGACTAGTTCTTTTGGAATCCTTACCTTCTATTTTTCACCGTGATTCTTCTTTTTTCGCTAAAAGGATTCCTTTCTTGCCACATCTGACACAAATTTATAATAATTCAACCCTATTTTCAAATAGAACTTGGCGATTAAAAAAACATGCAGCCTGTGCATGTTCGAATCTCGTAATGGTGGATCAGTTGAAATGTATGTTTTTTTAACTGATTGCCAACTACACATTGACATTGTTAGTGTTACACAGGCGAAAGTGTAAACAATCAGGGTCTGATGATTTTTTAGAACTTTTAAACCTTTACTACAATTTCCTTCAGTGGCTCAGCTTAAAGCATATCAAAAGGATAAATGCATCCAAAGCTAAAGATGAAAATCTGTATGCAGTGGTTATATCTATTGACAAAGTTATTTATTTATTTTATATATTTTGCAGATATTAAAAATGTCGATGATAGAGAAATTGAGTATCCAAGGGATACGAAGTTTTGGCCCAGATGATCAAGACCGACAGGTCATGCAGTTTTTTAAACCATTAACATTAATCTTGGGACCAAATGGAACAGGCAAAACGGTAAGAATTTTTACAAACATCTTTAGATGTAGCCTGTCTTCATTAGCCCGTCTTCATTAAACGTATCGCATTTGCTTTAGATTTAAACAAATTATTTTTTGAAAATAACCATATTTGTCTATTTCTCTGCGATGAGCTTGTTTGAGGGTGAAAGGAAGTGAACTAATTTGAGATTTTAATTTCAGACAGTAATAGAATGCCTAAAATATATGACTACAGGAGACCTTCCACCTGGTGGTAAAGGTGGAGCATTTATACATGATCCTAAGGTTAGCAGTTTCTTGTTAAATTATGTTGCTTTTTCTTAGCATCTGAAGATGGACCAAAATGATCCAGAAATCGATTAAAGATACTTTATGTAAGATTTAGATAAAGACCTAGCCATTCTTGCTTTAATAGTTCGAAAATAGATAATGTAAAATGAATAATTTGAAAATTTCATTCAAATTACTCTATTGCGAGCGAAGATATTAGCCTTTGAAGGTTTGACAAGACGTTTGTAATAATTTGAACCACCGTACTGGTTGTACGAAGCTAAGTCTCACTCCTCCTAGAACTGTTCTGATCTATTTAATACCGGAAAAATCTGATGTCATCGAGAGTTGATTATGGCCTGGATAAGTTAATTAATGTCTAATTAATCATTTAGAAAACATTTCAGGCCTAAAGAAAGATTTAGCTCTTGCATAATTTATGTTTAATTAAATTGAATATTTCAAATAATATGATTTTTGAATACTCACTAAAGCCTTGTTCGGTGTGACCACTAATTGACCTAACCTTCTTTAATGTTCACTTTATTTTGAAGTTGGGTTTGGAAAGCCGAATGGCTAAACGCATGCAGCTGTGCACTACTAAATGCGCAAGTGAATTATTTTGTGTTGAGTGGATGTTTGTGTTGAGTGGACATTGTGAACGTAAGTGTAGCTGTGTGGTTTAAACTTGAACTGTATACTAGATCATAAGTCGGGAGTTGTGCTGGCTCAGTGGATAGGGCGCTGGTTTGCTAACCAGGAGGTTCCAGGTTTGAACCAGGTATCAGCCACATAAGTCTGTTATCTATGCAAGTCATGGGTTCGACCCCGGGTTTGTTTGTAACAAGACGTCTGCCTTTCTCCAGATGCTTCAGTTACCTAGCTCCTCCCTCCATGAACATGTGTAATATGGAACTGTTGGGCATTTTCCTTCAAAATTTCAGTTATTTTTTTTTTACAGATTGCTCATGAAAGAGAGGTTAAAGGTCAGATTAGACTACAGATACGTGATGTAACTGGTAAACAGGTTCTAATAACAAAATCTATGTTAGCTACACAAAAGGTAAAATATAAACAGATTCTAAGATTTTGTCTAACATTGTATAGATCTATAGGAACTAGAATGGTAACTAGCAAAACTTGAATAAAATAGGCAGTGAATTATCTTATTTTTTTCTATTGATTATTATAATTTAAAGCAGTATTATTACTTTCAAAAAAAAAAATAATTTCAGGTGAAGAAAGTGGAGATGAGAACTCTAGAAGGTGTTATAACTAGACATGGTCCTGATGGAGAAAAAAAGAGTATTAATTCGAGATGTGCTGACATGGACAGAGAGGTTAGCTTTCAATTTTCTATTACATGCACATGCCTCCTCTGTAAAGTTGTTGTATCATTAAAAATTCTTTTTCTTTAAAAAGTCTGTATTCAATTGACCTTGTCGGACCATTCAGGTAGCCACTTAGATGAGAATAATTTCAGCCAAGCATAGAGAACAGATCAAACCAAAATAAAAAACAAATCACAAAAAATAGATTGAGGCAGAGGAAGTGAACAAAAAGAATTGATATTTTCTTCTATATTGGTGGTTTCGAATCCCCGGTTGTACGTGACAAGGAGTGGGTTTTCTCCCACTGCTAAAGACCCCTATGCGCAAGCAAATTATTGAAATAAGATTAAAACCATATTGGTCCCGAAATGACCTAGTTTGTGTCGAGTGGACGTTAAACCCCATTTCTCTCTCTCTCTCTTCCATATTGAACTAAGTAATACTGTATAATTCTGCACTGTCTTTTCTCAATGCATATTTATTAAGTTAGTGTGTTTTATATTTATTTAAGATGGTATCATCATTAGGTGTATCTAAAGCTGTTTTAGAAAATGTTATATTTTGTCATCAAGAAGATTCAAATTGGTGAGTTAATTGTGTCCTTGACAATGGCTAGCTTAGAAGCTTTTTATGGACAATTATAAGTTATGGTAAATTATAAGTCTGTTGGTAAAAGATCTTTAAAGTTAAAGAGACTGACATATTATTTGTAAATCCTAATCCATTCAGAGAAGTTCTTCTGATCCATTATTTGTCTTTTTTCATTTCAGGCCACTAAGTGAGGGCAAACCTCTAAAAGAAAAGTTTGATGCTATATTTGCTTCTACTAGATATACTAAAGTTTTAGAAACAATCAGAAAATTGAAACAAGAGCAGGTAGGTTTATATACATCTGGTTACATCTCATTTTGTTGCTCTGTATTTTAGAGTCCACAGGATTACATCACCTTTACTGAAAGGATCCAATTACACAGTTGTACAGGAACATCAGTTCTTTTATACTGTTGTATGTTACAAGGACTCGATTACACAGTTGTATGTTACAAGGACTCGATTACACAGTATCACTAAATCCAAATTGTATGATACTAGGGTTTGATTACACTGTTGTATATGTTACAGGGTTTGAATACACAGTATCACTAAATCCAAATTGTATTTTACTAGGGTTTGATTACACTGTTGTATGTTACAGGGGTTTAATTACACAGTTGTATGTTACAAGGGTTTGATTACACAGTATTACTAGATCCAAATTTTTTAACACCCAAAAATTCACCAAATTTAATGCTTGATCATCAGATAAAAACAATTGCACCGATTGCGATCTGGAAGACGAACAACTTGGTCAGTCATTCCAGATATAAGTAAGGATTTAACTAGATGTTAAATATTATTCATACCATTTTATTATACGTCCACATTCATAATGTGAACGTATTATGCCGTCGCCCCTGTCTGTGTGTGTGTGTGTGTGTATGTATGTATGTGTGTGTGTGTGTGTGTGTGTGTGTGTGTGTGTGTGTGTGTCTGTGGTTCGCCTACAGGGCGCAATTCTTCATGGATTTTCTTCAAACTTGGTATACTTATTCCTTATACCCCAAGGAAGATCCCTATTGTTTTTGGTGCATGCCCGACCCCCCGGGGCAGAGCCACGCCCATTTCTAGTATTTGTTTGTTTGTCGTCTACAGGCCACATTTCTTAACTAATAATCTTGAAACTTTGCATACACATTCTTTGTACCCTAAGGAACATCCCTATCGTTTGGGGTGCATGCCCAACCCCCAGGGGCAGAGCCACGCCCATTTTCTTTTCGTGTGTCTTTGTGTCGCCTACAGGGCGCAATTCTTACTGGATTTTCTTCAAACTTGGTATACTTATTCCTTATACCCCAAGGAAGATCCCTATTGTTTTTGGTGCATGCCCGACCCCCAGGGGCAGAGCCACGCCCATTTCTAGTATTTGTTTGTTTGTCGTCTACAGGCCACATTTCTTAACTTATAATCTTGCATACACATTCTTTGTACCCTAAGGAACATCCCTATCGTTTGGGGTACATGCCCAACCCCCAGGGGCAGAGCCACGGGCAGAGCCACGCCCATTTTCTTTTCGTGTGTCTTTGTGTCGCCTACAGGGCGCAATTCTTACTGGATTTTCTTCAAACTTGGTATACTTATTCCTTATACCCCAAGGAAGATCCCTATTGTTTTTGGTGCATGCCCGACCCCCAGGGGCAGAGCCACGCCCATTTCTTGTATTTGTTTGTTTGTCATCTACAGGCCGCATTTCTTAACGCATCATATTGAAACTTTGCATACTTTTTCTTTGTACCCTAAGGAACACCCCTATCGTTTGGGGTGCATGCCCAACCCCCAGGGGCAGAGCCACGCCCATTTTCTCTTTGTGTGTCTGTGTGTCGCCTACAGGCCACAATTCTTAATCGACCGTCTTGAAAAAATTTCATATGAATTCCTTATACCCTAAGGATGATCCCTATTGTTCTTGGTGCATGTCCGACCCCCAGTGGCAGAGCCACGCCCATTTCTTATATTCATTGTTTGTTATCTACAGACCGCATTTCGTAACGTATCACCTTGAAACTTTGCATGCTTACTCCTTCTATCCTAAGGAACATCCCTATTGTTTGTGGTGAATGCCCAGCCCCCAGGGACAGAGCCACACCCATTTTCTTTTTGTGTGTCTGTATGTCACCTACAGCCTGCAATGCTTAATCGATCATCTTGAAAACTTTTTTATACTTATACATTATACCCCAAGGCTGACCTCTATTTTTTTGGTGATTGCCCAACCCCCAGGGGCAGAGCCACACCCATTTTTTCTTTGTGTCTCTGTGAGTTGCCTACAGGCCACGATTCCTAATGGATTGTCTTTGAACTTGGGATATGTTTTCCTTATAGCCTAAGGACGACAACTGCATGTCACGACCCCCAGGGGCAGTCATGCCCAATTTTTATGTATATCGTTTACAGGCCCGAATTCTGGATGGATCAACTTGGTATTTGGCATATGTATTCCTTATAGCCTAAGGGCATCAACTATTGATTTTGGTGAATGCCCCAACGCCCAGGGGCAGAGCAACGCCCAATTTTTGCCTTTAACGCCCAAAGGCCACAATTCTGAATGGATTATTTTGGAACTTGGTGTACTTATTCCTTATACCCTAAGGACGGCAACTAGTGATGTTGCCATTTCAATAACAGGATGGTACCTGTTTATATTGTTTCCATATCCAACCCCCATGGGCAGAGCCACGCCCAGTTTTTGTATTTATCGTCTACAGGCTGCAATTCTGAATCATCTTGGAACTTTGCATATTTATTCCTTATACCATAAAGACAGCAACAATTTATTTTGATACTTGCCCGGACCTCTTGGGGCAGTGTCACACCCACTTTACTGTTAGTATTTTGTCTGTAAATTTGGCAAAACAAACCCGACGCCTAGCCTTCTTTGCCTCTGATCATATTACAGCCATTTCATATTTCATTTTCTTCATTTTAAAAAGTACCATATCAATCAAAGCTGGAATGTGGACGTATATTGCAGCGTTAGCGATGCTCTTGTTTCTAATACAGGATGGTAGGATCAAGATTTATAAAGAAGAGTTGAAATATTTAAAAGAACGTAAAGAAAAGGCTCTACAGGTCAGTTGTCTCCAAGTTAATCTTGCAGTAAATTTTACTGCATTGTAAAATGCTGGGTTAATTAGGATATCATTGTTAATAGAAAGTTACCCGGGCATATTTCCTAATCATGAACTGTGCTAAAGGAATATATTGTTGTGTGGCAACATCAGAAATTTTCTATAACAATGCAAAATATTTGTAACCGACTTACTAAATCTTATTAAGTCAGATGTGTATTATCAACATCAATTTTTAAGAATTTTAACTTAAAAAAAGGATAATGTATTACTTTTAGATAAGACTAATCTAATAAAAACTTATAGTTTACAAGACTTACTCATTGCTTTTCTTGTAGATTCAAGCAGATGTAACAAATTTAGAAGTAAAATATTCTACATCACAGGAAAATGTAGCACAGATTGAAGAAGAACTCAAACCTCTGCAGGTATTTAATTCAGGCTTAGATTTGAACAAATAATAATGAAATAGTTTTTGAAATGCTCAGGTAAAATTATTGATATGGATGTTCTATAAAAGATGGTTTATACTTTAAAATCCATTTTAACAACCAGAAGAATTTTTGTTTCTATTTTGCAGGAAAAATTACAACAGTTGGGTACAAGAGCAGCAGAAATATTTGAAATCAAATCACATATACGTAAGTTAACAATTTAGCAGCTTTTTGAATTTGTAATAGAAGATACAGTTGTTGATTTAAATTGCAGTAGTACTTAATAGAGGATAAGATATACATATATCTTTAATGGTATATTTTACTAATGGATATGAGGATTAACCACAGATGTTGCACGCAATCTAATATGAATAGTCGAAGGAAAATTGAGTTGGCAATTTGGTTGGATCGAGTTTTTGATCGGCTGTGTTAATTTACCTCTTTAATGTTTTTCATCTGACTCACTCTCATCTATTCTTTATAGAAAGCCGCCAAACAGAACAAGCACAAGTAGAAAAGGCAATAGCTGACTTATTGAAGAATATAGAAAATGAGTTCCAAGGTAAATACTCAAAGATTTTGAAAAGAGATTGTTTTTTAAGCAATATTTTATACCAAACTGAAATGAATTGAAGAACAGAGACAGCCCATCTAACAATGAAAGTTTAAGTTTAATTACCACTTTGTTCATGATTAACTCGATCAGTAAGTATTTTATTTTTTCAGTTGGCTTCACCTTTTGCCTGACAATAAAAATTGTTTATTCTATAAAAAAAAATGTTGTATAAAAGAAAAAATACCTGCCATTAGGCATTCATGTGCATTGCTTACAATAATTATTAGCATGCAGTAATTAGTATTTTGTTATATTACAGGTTCAACAGAAGATTTAAAACGATTATTAAATGAATTCCAAGATAAAGTTGAGGAAAGACAGGATAAACTAACACATGTACGTCTTATTTTAATGTTTTCATTCCATTGAACATTGCTACATCCAAAGAAAAATTATAGTTTAGAATCATTTGACACTTGCGGATTAAAATGAAAACCACATATAGACACTTATTGGGAACAGTCGAAGTGAATTTACATACATCACTACCAGTTATAGTTATATATAATTCATATTCTTCGTTTGTATGTGTTCATCAAAGGTCATGGGTTTTCCCCATTTATAGATATGTAAATATTGATGCCAATACACAGTCCCAACATTATCAGGATTGTATCTCTTTTGGAATATTGTGGCCTAGTAATTTCTCTTTTCACCGATATCAAATATCTCAGATCTCCAAATAAGAATTCTGTAACTTTAAAAATTGTAAATAAGTTGATTTAAATAAATACGCAATTTTTATACACCCACATTGAAATGTGATCATAAAATATCCGATTGGCTTTGAATTAATACACAGTGTTTAGGGTCATGAGACAAAGAATCCTATTGATTTTCATTGATTTCCGAATATTACTGCCAGAGTTATGGCTCTTTATCACTTTGAAGAATCTTGTGGTTGCTTTAGAGACCATCGTTATCATCTGATTGATTTTATATTTATAACTGTGTTTACGCCTATATATAATTGTATCGATTGACTTTAGATTGATAAACGATGTTTAAGGTCTTGAGACGAACAAGTATATTGATTTTCAATGATTTTTGATAACTTGAACAGCTAAACCAATGATATTAAATAGTTTGTATACTAAATGTTAGTATTCTAATGATTTTCTGATAATTACTTATTGAGTTGTTACTCTTAATCAGATTTTAGTGTATTATAAATGTTTCATTACAAAAAAAAGTAAAAATAAGCTGCTGTGGTCCTATGTTTCGTTGCCTGGCAACCTATTTTTGTTACAGTATGAAAGAAAAAGAGAGAGTATAATACTAGAATTAGAAAAAACTGGTAAAAAGAAATCATCCATGCTGGTAGAAGTAGGTAGATTGGAGCAAGAAGCTGAGGTAGATATAATTTTTGTAAAATATTTTGATATATTGTATTTAGTGAGGTATTGCAATTAAATTCAAGTTCATTGACAACTGAAAACCTCATTTGTTTATTGAATTGTTAATAAAGCATGGACTGTACCAAGGCTCTTATTCTGTTTTGAAAAGAACTGTTCAGAATTGGGTTACTAGAAGTCATATTCAACTCATATTCCTGAAGCAATGGCCCGAGAAATCCCTCTCTGGTCATTGCTGGATTGACTTCTGATACTTCAGCTTTTGAGGGAGTGTGCCTATTCTTCCCGTTCAATCAAATCCCTCCTATTTAAGCAACATGACAGCCCTTCATTTAACCTGGGATCGTCTCTAAAACTTTGGACAGGGTTTGAGTGAGATTAGGTCTAATCAAACGAAACACTGCGAGGAGCATGTATTCAACTTAGCGTACTTATGAAGCTTCAAGTCTGATTATTAAAAGGTTTAGATATAACAAACGATTTCTTGATAATTGATTATATAACATATCGTAGTCTGAATAATATGTGTCCCCCGTCTTTCGAAGAAAGCAGGGGACTGTTATAATGGGCCTGTCTGTTCGTCACACTTTTTGGGACACAATAACTCTCTTTCAAATGGAGCTAGACTGTTCAAATTTGGTGTAGGTGTTTATTAGGTGAATGCCTTGTCATGATTGCCATTGAAAATAATAAGGTGTATACAAGTTCTTAATATTTTAAAGTTTATGTCAAGAGTATTCCTCAATAATTACCTGTCTTTGTTTATTTGATACAAAGTGAAAACGAAGCCTTTTATTATAAAAAGGTATTTTAAATACATCAATAACTTGACTCATCAAAAGCATATCAGGCTGATAGCTTGTGCTGTTTTTGCACCAAATTTTATCTTTTTATTACGTCTTTTGTAGTATACATTTCTTTGAATATAGTTCAATTAATTTTATCTTACTAATATTATTGCAGGGTCATAAAGAAAACATAAGAAAAAGAGATACAAAAATTGTTGAAGTAGCAGATAACTACTCGTTTGAAGGTAATTTTGTATGAAAAATCTTGTGCACACTGTAGGGGCTAAAGTTATTATCCGATTGACTTGAAATTTATAACAGTATTTATGGGACGAAGATGTCTATAGATTTTTTGATTATTTCTAATGTTACTAGGGCTGACTGAAAAGTTCTAAACCTGAAAAGGATATATCAGTTGCGTTGAAACCAGCTTTTGCCAACAACAAGTACAATCGTTGAATGAATCATAGACATAAGAACTGCAACTGTAGTGTTATTATTGTCTTGGTATCAGACCATCTTGTGAACCTACCCATTGATATCATCAGAACTGGACAAAACTAGCTATATAGGACAGTCATCAAGTACCTGCAACTGAAAGAAAACATTATCTGAGTGCATGACATGGTGATGGCTAATAAACGATAGACCATGGACATATTGCTAGTGTTCTGGGCATTTGTCATGAGAGGGTTTAACACATCGCCAACGAGTTAGGAATTATAACAGTTTCTGCAAGATGGGTGCCAAAGCCTTTGACTGAGGATCAATACCGTGTCAGATTCCTGACGTCCCGTAACAATCCGCCCTATTTTGAAGAAGATGTTAATAATTTTTTGGATGGATTTGTAACCATGGATGAGACCTGTTTCCAAAAATGAAAAAGGAACTAGCCGGTCATCATTTTCCAAGTAATGATGACGTCATGTCAGCTGTGAACGACAGGCCTAATAACATTGTTAACAAAAGTATGTACACCCCAAAGGGAACTATGTAGAAAAATAAATGGAAACCATTAACTTTGTAAAGGTCCTTCATGGATAGGTTTAGAACTTTTCAGCCAGTCATCGTGTGAACTAATTACTTGTACAAGTTTTGTATAATGACTGTTGGCACTAGGACGAACTAGAAGCCAATCAAATATAAAATAATTTCTCATAATTACTTGCTAAGTTGTTAGTCTTGATCACTTTTTCATGTCTTGTGGTGAATGCTCCATTACTACCTAAAAAATAAATATGCAAATACCTTTGTGAAATGCTTGAACAGAGAGAGAGGGAGAAAAATGGGGTTTAACATCCACTTGACACAAAGTAGGTCATTTCGGGAGTAACATATGGTTGTATTTTATTTCAGTAATTCGCTTGCGCGTAGGGTCCTTAGCATTGGGCGGACCCAGAGAAGTCCCACGAGGTTGGACAGGCGACCCTACTCTTTGTCACGTACAACTGGGGAATCGAAACCACGCCAGTTGACTCAATGACAGACCTTATGATGCAGTGCGCACACGCTAACCATTCGGCCATCCAACCCCCCAACTGCTTGAACAACTTGCCTGCTGTGGGTGTATGCAGGGCTCGAATAAGCGGGCGAAGTGGACGAAATAGTCGCCGAACCCATAGATGACTTCGCCCCTAAAAGGCAATGGGGCGAAGTTGAAATCGCCCCCACTTCGCCGTCTATTTGTGTAAGGGCGAAGTACATGTAGTAACAGACATCGATATCAACGGTAAACAAATCATTTTCTAAACAACACAACACGTGTTCGCATTGTGAGCTTCGAAAGGAAAAATGAAAATTAGACAAGTTTTGAAAACCAAAACATGTATTAATATTTTGTTTTTCCATGATAAAAAATTTATTTGATGTGAACAGGAAATACAGTTCTTTAAAATAAAGCGAAGGACTCGAATCATAAATCTCCCTTACAACCTCTAGCGTAGTCCAGAAATAACAGCCAATCAAAAGCCATTATGGTCAATATGGCGGCGGATACGATGTTTTTCATTTATTTCTGTCTAGATAAAGACAAAATACTGATTTGCTACTCTTTCTTTGAAATAATTTAATAAGGTGTATATTTTTCTATCAACATACGGTACACTCAAAATGATAACGAAATGCATTTAGAATGTGTTGATAAGTATAATGTTGGGTTGATAATTAAGATTACGTCAATAGTTCCACTAATCTAAACACATAAACGTATAACAAACAAGAAAAATGACTACGACTGTGTGTGAGTGGTGTGTCAAAAGAATAATTTCTTTAGAGTGAGTTACATATACTGTCGTACATACTGAGATTAATATATGTTTGCAGCTAAAAGATGTTTGTAAATTTATTTAGCATGTTGTGTAACTTAATAAAATTGGTGTCGTCAATGCATGAAATTTGACCTCTCCTTCAAGTCTCCCTATGTCTCCCTCACTTCTCCCTATTCTGCCTGTAGGGAGAAGTCACTTCTCCCTAAAATTTGCTTCTAGTTTGAGCTCTGGGTGTATGTTCTTTTGATAGAATTGTATAGTCACACTATCTCAATTAGATTTTTTAAAATTAAATGTTTGAATATTTACAGGTTATAACCTAGGTAATATCAGTGACGAAAAATATAAACACTTTTTTGAGGAGATGAAAAATTCATTGGAGACAAAGAAAGCTGAATCTAAAAGTTTAAAGGTATGGTTTAGTTCTTATCATAACTGAAATACAATTATTAAAAGGTTTTAAAATTATATGTATGCATGTACACCTACACAGATGGTTGGGTGACAGAATTGTTTTTGATCCCATGCTTGTATGTGTGCCAAATCTTGACGGTTTTCTCTGGTATCCTCCCACTTATAAAGACTGTTATATGCAAGCAAATGATTGAAGGTGAATTGTAACATGAGCAAGTCCCAAAATGGCCTTTCTTGAGTTGAGCTGATGTTCCCATTTCTCACTAGCAAACATAGATAGTGCCCCAGATAGTGTCATCTTTTAGCTGTTTATAATTGTGATACATACTTTGACATATAATTTCAGTCTATCGATTTGTTACCATGATCATCAATATCAACTTTGACCATATCTCTAACTTGATTAAATAGACTAAAATATATTGCAACCTGTTATAAATGATTATTTGAAAGTTATTTCTCTAAGATTTGTATTATGTTTTACTAGGCTCAATATGAAGAGGAGGAAGAGAAACTACAGAAAAAATTAGATAACTTAAAGGAAAGTAAAACAAAACTAGAATCAAGTGAAAGATTAAAGACAGAAATGATGGTAAGTTGTGAAATTTGTTTCCAATTCTTGCTAACAATTCAATAGTTTTCCTATTCACTTTTATATGCCCACATGTTAATATGGTCGTACATTTCACTTTTATATGTCTACATGTTAATATGGTCGTACATTTCACTTTTATATGCCTACATATGTGGATATACATTTCACTATTATATGCCTACATGTTAATATGGTCGTACATTTCACTAGTATATGTCTACATGTTTATATGGTTGTACATTTCACTACAATATGCCTAAATTATCATATGGTTGTACATTTACGTTGCCTCCATCCATCTGTCCCTCCACATTTATAGTAAAATTTTATGATAAATTATGGTCCCTGTTGCCGGAACACTGTAATTAATATTGAGGAAAACACGGTAGCAATTCAAAGAGACAAATACTTCTATTTTCTTCTGATTAAATGGTATATTTATGATTAATATATTATTGTTGTAGACAAAGAATATTGGTGAGATACGTCAGATTAATCAGAAATTAAGTAATATGGAGGTATCTGCCGGTAGACTGGATCATATTACAACAGATTTAAAGAGAGCAGTAAGTTAGCAATGCTGAAGTCTGATCAAATTTATCTCTGGGATAAAAAAAACAAGCTGCATTATTATATATTTGTATTACCAATTTTAAATCTCTGCATCAAAAACAAGTTTCCACGGTGTCGGATTGGACGAAAAACCGAGGTCCTGTGTACACATTGGCATGCACGTAAAAGATCCCTTGGCAGTTGGAATTCGATATAGGAGTATTCTGTAGTGCCGCTGTCCAAGAAAAATTTACCTCATAGCACACTGTATGGCGTATGGCTGTCTTCTTAGCTCAATTTGGAGCAGAACAGTAGGATGTTAAACACAGTTTCATTTCATTTCTGAAAAAAAATCAGGTTTTGGTGTTACCTACAACCAGAAAATCAAGGTTTAGTGTATTCCTTCTACACGAATTTGGTAGAACTATTCAAATCAGATTCACATCTGCATGTCCAGCTCATTGTGTAGTAAAGGTTTTCTCATTGGTTATTTATGTTCTTAACAGTGTAACAAATAAGACATTTGAGAATCACACATGACAACAAATATTTTGTTTTCTACAATACTATTCAAAATGTAGATGTAGTTTTCTTTGTTATTGTAGGAACAGGATTTAACAAGTTTAGAATCTAATCTGAACTTGGAAGATGTAAAACGAGAAATAGCAGAACTTGACAAAACTCGAAAAGAATTGACCATGAAAATCAGTGATTTGAAGTAGGTTTACATGACTAAATTAAATTGAAATGTGTTTCTAAAATTTAAGGATTTATTATATAAATCCATTGACATTGATTTTTTTAGGCAGTGTGATTAACTGCAATAGATGATTTTCTGAATATATATTGTCAAATATGCTGTTGACTTTATTATTTCCAAGAAAAAGTTTAACCTGCATTTAAACAAAAACAGAATGAAGTAGATAATGGGCAGTCATCACAAGGCATACAAAGGATACATTTTTATATGCCCACATTGAAATGTGGTCGTATATTGTCGTCGCCCCCGTCCGTCGGTCCGTCTGTGGACGCTCTAGAGGCTACAGTTAATATCCTATTGACTTTAAATTTATATACAGTGTTTAAGGCCATGAGACGAAGAAGCCTATTGACTTTCAGCGATTTCCGATAATTACTGCCAGAGTTATGGTCCTTGATCACTTCAAAAAATCTTGTGGACGCTCTAGAGGCTAAAGTTAATATCCGATTGACTTTAAATTTATACACAGTGTTTAAGGTCATGAGACGAAGAAGCCTATTGCTTTTCAGGGATTTTCGGTAATTACTGCCAGAGTTATGGCCCTTGATCACTTCAAAAAATCTTGTGAATGCTCTAGGGGCTAAAGTTAATATCCGATTGACTTTAAATTTATACACAGTGTTTGAGGTCATGAGACGAATCTTGTGACGCTCTAGAGGCTAAAGTTATCATCTGATTGACTTCAGATTGATACACAAGACGAACAAGTATATTGATTTTCAATGAATTTTTATGACTTGAACAGCTAAATCCATGATATTAAAAGTTTCGTATACTAAACGTTAGCATGGGGCAGAACTTTATAAAAAACAAACAAATTCTAATGGTTTTCTGATAATTACTTCACGAGTTGTTACTCGTAATCAGATTTTAGTGTATTATAAATGTTTCATTACCGAAAAAATTAAAAATATGCAACAGCACTTGTTGACTCCCCAGACGATTTAGCTGCTGTGAGCGTTTGTTTCGTTGCCTGGCAACCTATCTTTAAAAATTTGCTTTACTTTATTATAAAAATAAATTCAAACGTCAACAGAAATGTAACCATACTGTACCACTTTGATGTAAAATTGTGACATCACATTGTAGTTGATGTCACATTTCTCACTGTTATTAATATATAGTGACTTGTGTATCTCCTATAGTAGACATACTATTATTGTGACATTGTACACATTTGATATCAGGTGTATGGTTATCATTCCTGACACATTACAGGAATGATCTAGACTTTGTTTATTATCGTAACAACTGTAGCAACAAAAAATCAATACTATCCTATTCTTCAAACAGTCATAACTTCCCTCAGAATAAAGTAATTTTTCAATTTATTCCTTTTTCATTATCTATTTTAAAACATTTTTTTTAGCAAGATCTTTCATCTTTTTGTCAAAATGTTACATAATGAATTTTTAAGAAAATGTTCTTTATTTTACAGTACAGAATTAAATAAGTTAACATTAGAATCTAATGTACAAGCTGAAGTTAATATGTATAACAAAGATAAAGTATCTAAAGAGGATAATATAAGACGACTGTAAGTAGTGATTGTTTTATAACTTAACTTGTCATGGATGTGTAATAATACAAAATCTACAGAATACTGTGAATTCAATTCATAATGTTGTTTGATTTAATAAGCTAGAATTATGAATCCAGAAACTGCTAAAGTTCAAAATATCAATGTATTAACAGATTAGTTAACTTTATAACTGTGTTGTGGCTACTAAATTGGTGAATGCCGTGCACCAAATAGATTATGCTTACTATTTCCAACACTTGATATCTCTTAATGCTCTCAACTGTGAGAGATGTTGCCCTTCGGTTAACATCTATGTACATTACAGTAGAGGCACATTATATAAATCATCGATTTATCATCTGCAGAGGATCAAATCTTAAAGTTTTTGTTATCTATTGATTTAGCTTGTCGCTGTAGCTATGTTTCCTTTTTGAATTCTGTTAATTCTCCCCAATATAATAATATTTCTCAACAGAAGATCAGCAGAGCCTCAGCTAAAGATCAGGTAATCATTCTTAAGATGACATTTTCTGAAATAAATATGGAAAATGTATTTAAGATGTTTAAATATTATTTATACTGATGTGTTTTACAGTAAATCCAAACATGAAGATACAATCAACTATTTATTAGGTGATGGTGCATCAACACAAAATCTGAGAGGAAAATTAGAAGACTTTATCTAGTTCGTATTTTATAAGTAGTTTTATCCAAACCATTGTTTTTGTTTTGTTCAAAAAACTTCCAGAGTTAACCCATGAAACTATTATTGCTGAGAAACAGTACTGTCAATACCTTAATGTTCCATATGTCTGAGTGAGCCTAATCATGATCAAAAGTAACAAAAGCGTTCAATTTTACTTAGATACAAAGAAATTAGCCATTGAAACATACAACTGTATGTTCCACACACACATAACGATTTACAGTTTGAAATAATTACTCAGTTTTTGCATATCCCTTCAGAAATTTATTATTGTTTTATAATATAACTAAACGACAGTTACCTATTGACACTCTTACTTGAGAAAATAAACCTGTTATTAATGCAATTCAGAATATGATTTTAAAATGCCTGTGATTTTATTTGATAGTGAACAAGGTGATTCAGTTAAACGTTGTTCTGAGGAATTACAAAATGCACAAAGGAGTCTTTCTTCTAAAGAAGCACAACAAAAAATGTTACAGTAAGTTGATTATTAATTATCAGAAGATTTAATCTTAATTATTGGAACTTGTTAATTGGCAGCAAGCCAGGTTATAAATAAATTTCTTTCGAGGTCCAGTGGTTTGGTTGCCAAAATGTTAATGCATGCGCATTGCATCATAAGGTCTATTATTGAGTCGCCTGTCCAACCTCATGACTTTTCTTGGGTTTCAGCCGACTGCTAAAGACCCCAACTTGCAAGCAAAGTAATGAAATTGATTTGAACCATATGTTAGTCCCATATGTTAGACCTGAGTTTGTTTCCAAGTTTGTGTCAGTGGGAGTTTGTGTCAGTGGACATGTTAAATCTGTGAATGTGAATAACTTTATAACTTTTGCATATAATCAAATATTTTTACTAATTTTATGATTAGAGGTAAATGTATTGTGAGTACATTAAACTTGTACTAAGAATGGTGCTAATTTTTTGGTCTTACTTATGAACATAGATTTATTCAGTTTAACAAATCTTGTGTCTTCTAGAGCATGTTGAAATCTATTAATTATTCACTTGGACTGCTCGATTCACAAATAGTTTCTTAACCAGAAGAGAACCAAAAAAGCAGGCCATTAGTCTTTCCAACACTTACTAGAACAGTAATTTAACATTTATAATCCATCTCTGTGAGTCATTTAGCCAGACTTTTCATGCTACATTAACATTAGCTAGTAATATCCGACCAGTACCCAATTCAGCTGCAATACTGGGATAAAGATCTTTGTATTAAAATAAACCATTTGAATTTTTTTTTAAATGTACAATTCAGACAACAGCTAAGACAGAAAGAAGATGAGTTGAGGAAATTAGATGATAAGATTTTAACTGTCTGTGGTAGTCAGAATTATGATGATGAATATCAGAATGTTCAACAAAAACTAACACAAACTCAAGAGTAAGTCAACATCACTAATAAAATATATTAGCTTACAAATTATAGATTTAAATGTTCAGTTATGAGACATTCTGTTACAGCAAATATTGTTGAAAATCCCTGCTTTTTTTAAAGAACAAAACTCGCTCTATTTGGAAAATATGTGTGTGTGTGTGGAATAACTTTATTAAATGTCAACTTCAACAATAAAATAGACAAGTTCATGATGCCACAATAATAAATGCTTTTTTTAAACGGTCAAATTCTCAGTTACAAAACATGTAGATTTATAATTTTATGAATTGTTTTCACAATTTATAGATCAAGGGGATCCTTATTAGGAGCTGAACATTTTTTTAAGCAGTATGTAACAGATTTGGAGAAAACTGATCCATGTTGTCCTCTCTGTCATCGAGGTTTTGAAACAGAAGAAGATGTTCGTCAACTTATATTAGAGGTAATGTCTTGTATTAGCAGCAGTCTTATGGTAGATTTCACTCACTGTGTATCCATTTGTCTTCCACCATTTCTTGTAAACACTCTTCAGGCTACATTTATCACCCAATCTTTTGAAAACACGGGTGGTATATGGAGAAATAGCTGTGATTATAGTTTGACTCTTTGACCTATTTACATTCATAATATATACAGACATGGGGTACCCAATATCAATGAGTGATGTGTACAGACCTATCATCAAGAACCCAGTTATTTGAAATTCTGGATATTGTTAAATATTAATATCCCCAAGAGAAATCTACACACGTAACAGAAAAGGAATGTACCTACTAATTCAATCTCTTAAAATTCTCATGTTTTGTTTCTTTTTCAGCTTCAAGATAAGTTACGAAGGGTACCTAGTAGATTGAATAAAGCCGAGAAAGATTTAGAAGAATATCAGACGAAGTATGATAATATGACACAACTTAAACCATTACGAGAAAATGTAAGTAACCTCAAAAACATTATTTTAGATTCAGAGTAGGTTCATTTTGAGGACGTATTTTATGGCAGCTGAGAATTGATTAATCATGTTGGTTCAAGGAAGCAGGCGACTATTGAAATGGCTTAGTCTGTCTGTTAATTAAGCAGAGTGATAAACAATTTGATTGGTTGAGACTTTGGAACAGGAACACAACAACATTGTTTCTAATTTAGTGAGGGTGGTAAAGGTTGTAGTATAGTTTCATTACATCAATATCTTGACTAATTTCAATGGTGAGCATTTTCTGCTTAGGCTAAGCAGCTGTGTGTCTGTCCGTTTACCTGCCACACTTTTTGGAAAGCAATAGCTCTGCTTCTAACAGAGGTAGAATGTAGTAGTTGGTGTAGTTGTTCGTTAATTTAATATCTTGACTGAGTTTGACAGTGATCATTTTCTGCTGTAACGCTAGTCAGTTACAGCAGTAAAGGTTAAAACTTCATATACAATCACCAATAATTATTCATTTGATGGAAAATTTTACGAGGGTCTATAAACTATTTCTAATGTTCTTTTCAGATAACAGCATTAAATGATATTTCTATTCCTGACCTTAAAACAAAACTTAAGAAACTAAGTGAGGAGATCAGTGAACTGAAGGAACGGATTCAGGATGTAAGTACCACTTATGATTACTTTGGAAAGTTATTTTTTATCTTCGGCAGTCTAATACCTGTTTAACTTTTCTGAGAGGAAAATTAGATCAATGAACAATTTTGACAATTACTAGCAAACTGAGAGCTACATTCGACGCCTTGTTTTACTGTTAACAATTATTATTATATCTTTGTATAGTTTAAATAGATTGAGCAGTTCTTTTAAAGAAGGGGGGTTGGATGGCCGAATGGTTAGCATGTGTGCGCTGTATCATGGGGCCTGTCATTGAGTTAACTGGCGTGGTTTTGAATCCCCGGTTGTACGTGACAAGGAGTAGGGTTGCCTGTCCAACCTCGTGGGTTTTCTCTGGGTCCTCCGGTTTCCTCCCACTGCTAAAGACCCCTACGCGCAAGTGAATTATTGAAATAAAATTAAACCATATGTTAGCCCTAGTTTGTGTCGAGTGGACGTTAAACCCCATTTCTCCCTCTCTCTCTCTCTTTTAAAGAAATACACCTATTAATATTCCAAACATTACTCCTGAAGTTACTCCCCTTGATTTACACAGCCTGGATAACATGTTACAATTTTGATTTTAAACAATTTCTGTCAATTACTGCCGGATTCGTCCTGCTTCACTTGGCAGGTATCATGTCTGTTGGCTGTATAGTCATTCTAATGGAAACAAATCAAGGTACACTTTAGTAAAAATTTGGTGGAACAGTATTTTTAGAATAAAAATTTTATTGTTGCCCAGAAGCCTTAAATCCAGGTATGATTTGAGAAAATTTTCACTTGTCAATTAATTTGACTGTAGTGCTAATAAGGAAAGTATGCCAAGTCATTCTGATCGTACGTTCCTTGTAAGAGATTTTGTTGGAGCAATATAATATAAAATGAATGCATTAATTATAGAAAACAGATGAGTTACAAGCTAAAGAGAATGATGAAGGTATGGCTAAAAGTATGCAGCCTGATGTCCTTATGATAGACAGGTATCAGGGTGAACTTAGAGAATTAGAGAGAAAAATAGCTACCAAATCGGCTATGTTGTCAGGAGGAGGTGTGTATTTAACTTTATGTTTATATTGTTAAAATAGTTTGGTGTGGGTGGTCGAGTGGTCTAACGCATAAACTTTACATCAAAAGGTCTGTCATTGAGTCAAATAGCATTGTTTGCAATGCCCAGCTTGTACTTGACTAGGAGTAGGATCAAGTCAACTGTCCAATCTAATTGGATTCAACAAGATTCTCTGGTTTACTCCTACAGCTGAAGAATCCTATGCACAAGCAAATTATTGAAATAAGATTGAACCATATTCTAGTCCCGAAATATTTGCATAGCCACCTTTAAACAAACCATACTTTGATGACTATTGAATTAGAAAGTAAGATATAGGCACCTAAAATTAGAAAATATGACATGGCTACCTAATAGCAAAACATACTATAGTGAGTATTAAATTAAAATAAGACCCCAATTTACTTTATCCATAGTTTTTTTTGGTAAAAATTCTGATAAAATTTGATTTATGTTTTACAGTTGCAAGAAGAACTATAGAAGTCGTTGTTGAAGAAAAGGGAGATAAGGAACATACATTGTAAGTCATAATTAGTTCCCTTCATCTTTCATTTAGTTTTCTATAAAATTCAATCTATGCATTGAACAAAATTTTATAGAAAGATATCACCACTTCAAGCAAATTGAGGGAAAAACACTTGGTAAAATAAATATGTTGATATTTCAATCTGAAGGGACAATTGAAGCTGCAGTGGTTCAGTGAGTAAGATGCTAGCTTGCTTCAGGTGTTGGCCGAGAAAGTTCCTAGCATGGTTTCCCCTAGTCATTTGTGCTGAACGGTTGGCCTGACAAGGATAGTGTGTAGTCATTTGGATAGTATGAATAACCAAGGTCCCATGTACACATTGAAGTGCATGTAAAAGATTCCTTGACATTTGGAATCCAAATAAAAGTAGGCCGTAGTGCTGCAGTCCAGACAATATTTCCCTCGTAGCACACTGTATAACGTTTGCCTGTCTTCATCAACCTAGTCGGTGCAGAAAGTAGGACATTAAATCCCATTTCCTATTCATTTAAGGGACAATCTCAACAAAACACTGGATCACAAGAGACAGAAAATGTCAGACCATACAGAGAAGTTACAACGATTGAAGACTAAAGTTCATGACTTAAAATCAGAAAAACTACAAATAACAAGTGAATTACAACAGCGAACAAAACTAGAAGAAAGTAAAATATCTCTCATATCAGATAATAAACAACTTGAAGATGATATTAAGGTAACAAATAGTAACTTTGATCTGACCTCTTTATTTTTTATGTCTAAAATCCTAAGGGTCCCAGTTGTCACTCTTTCAATATGGGTAAAAAATTAGAGTAAAATTGTAGTTTTGCTCTTACCTTCTCTTCTAAAATCCCAAGTAGTTACATTTGTAACTCTTTGATTTTTTTGGGGAAAAACTTGTTGATTTTATTGGAAATGATTTCTAGGATGACAATCTGTCTTCGTTGAAAATTTTATTTCTGTTGATAAAACCAGTAAACTATTATTATTATTATACAAGCCACCTTCCATTTAATCTGTAAACATAAAAATTTGATTGTGTAAAACTTGCTCCATCACTGATAGAAATAACACATCAACTCAGTTCATTACCGGTACTATGTTTTTACCTGCTATAGCCCCTTGAAACCAAGTCAAAATGTTTCAGTCAACATTATTCTAGTTGTTTTGTTCAGTCTGTTTATATTATAAGTCAACCAAAGAGTGGTACAGATTGTTTTGTTCTTTCTTGATTTCACTGTGTCTTCTACTTCAATATTCAATATTTTATAGCTGTTATTTGAAATGCCACATTGTTGCTATTATGTTTATTATTAACAGGATGCTAGAGAAGAGATAAAACCACTTGAGGTAAATTTATCAATATCATATTATTAGCAAATATCATGGACCTTATGATACTATTATAAGCTTCATAGCAATTCATGCTGATATGTATAATGTGGCCAGAGAGTCTACAAATGGCATGAACGACATATGATCAGCCAGTTGTCTTAAATAACTTTATAGGTAATATTTAGGGCAATAACTATGATTTGACGATTTAACCAATACAACATTTTTCTTCGACAAATGCTCAGTTAATCCTATTGATTCATGGCTGATAGTTCATGCCTGATTGATCAATCATATGCTCAACATGAAATGTGTAGTGTAATATTTACATTGATTTCAATATTTCTAACTGCAATAATTTCACACATGAAAAACATATAACCATATTCTGTAAATTTATTTATAATCGTCATACGTTTTCTTTTTATAGACCCAAATAACTCGAACCAAGGCTCAGAAAGATGATGTTGTGAAAGAAAAAGAAGAGAAGATTGAATCAGCCAATCAGGAGGTTTGATCTTTTGTAGATTTTAATACACTAAAACCTCCGAGCATGATTTGTTATAAGTTTTGATTATGAGTCTGAAACGATAAGAATTAAGATAATTGTGAATGACTGATAAGGAATCTTGTGCTTTTAAAAATCCTGTTTGACCCAAGAACAAATTTAGCATTGGTAAAACAAAATGAAATGGGGTTTAACGTCCTACTGTTCTGCTCCTAAACTGGGCTAATGAAGACGGCATATGCCATACAGTGTGCTATGAGGGAAATTTTGCCCGAGCAGCGGCCCTACACCCACTCTTATATTGAATTCCAACGACTAGACAGCTGTCCTTGTCAGGCCCTCCATCCTGCATCACTGACAAGGGGAAACCACGCTGGAAAATCTGGATGAACTTTCTCGGCCAATGCAGGGATCAAACACCCGACCTCCAGGCTAGCGAGCCAGCGTCTTACCCACTTAGCCACGTGATCCCCTCGCATTGGTAAAACACAGTCAACGTGTTTCAGATGTGATTTCTTAGAGATTTTCTTATTCAATTGGTGCATTAGATTCAAAGATGTTGATTGAGTACCACAATCTTAAATTCTATGTGTTGTATCATTACATGTTAGAAGCTTAAAGAACACATGTTCTAGTTTTATTATATATAAAGTTGATATTCAAGATGTTTATTTTAGGTTGAACATGTGAAAACAAATGGTAATCTGGTTAAGAGTATTAATGCCGAGATCAAGAGGTAAAAATGGCGTATATTATCGTTATAATTATACTAGAGTAGTTTTATTTTCTGCTTTTTTTCTCATCGCGCTTGGCAATCTGAATTAAGGTTGAATCGTTCTTCCATTCCAATTTTAATTGTTGTTGGCCTATAAACATGAAGGTCTAACTACCACTTACGTTCAAAGTATAACTTCCTTGCCCAAGAAATCTATCTATTAAAAGCTAGAAAGTTTCAGACAATGATTGATCTCTTATCTTGCTCGAATATCTTATCAGATATAATATACTTTATTAAATGTATATGATTGATAATTATCAAATATGCTTTGTTTCATGTGTATGATTGATAATTATCAGATATAATATGCTTTGTGTAATGTGTATAATAGATAATAATTAGATATAATATATTTAATGTGTATGATTGATAATTATCAGATATAATATGCTTTGTGTAATGTGTATGATTGATAATAATCAGATATAATATACTTTGTTTAATGTGTATGATTGATAATTATCAGATATAATATGCTTTGTGTAATGTGTATAATAGATAATTATCAGATATAATATATTTAATGTATATGATTGATAATTATCAGATATAATATGAGTGGTAAAGCTGATGAATTAGAAAGATGTAAATTAGAACAAAGAGAGTTAGAAGCTAAAGTCAATGAAAAGGAAATAGAACAGACTGAACTGACACAAAATATTAATAAATTAAACAAAGATTTATCTACACAGAAGGTAAATATCATTACGTGTATTTAATACCTTACACTACTTGACCATGGCAGCACCAGTTACTTGGACAGTTACCTTGTGAAGTCCAATTTGTATTGACTTTGAATTTGATTGCCATAGTCCACAATATATAATGCTAATTTGTATTGTCTTTTAGGATGGATGGTACTGTATTTCATTAAAACTTTTCCAAAAAATTGAAATAATTAACTATTACCAACTATTTTGATCAGATGAAAAGAAAGTTTGTCCAATGTCAGGTCAAATCTCATTTAACCAGTCTTGAAGAAAACAGAAAATATATTTGAAATGATTCAAGCAACACATATTGATGGATTTTTGATCCCAACAAACAAGCAAAATATAATTAAATCTTTAATTCTGCTTGAAGAAAAACCCATTAAAGTTTGTGTTCAAGAACTGTTTCTGATAGCAATTCTTCATGTTTATTAAAAAAAAAATGCACTTTATTTAAATTTTACTTACTAGGTTAGAGAACGAGAGCTAAATGACAACCTCCAACTACGAAAAAAAAAGTTAGAAGTTAAGCAGTTAGCTACAGAAATTGAAGAAAACACAGAAAAACTTGGTGGAGTAGATCTTACAAACATTGAAAGAGAACGAAGAAAATTGTTGAATAAAGAAGACACTTTACAAAAAGAGGTAGCTTTGTCTTCTTTGTATAGGTCTAAATTTAACTTGGACACACAACAAATTCTGTCAATGAGATATATAACAATATAAAAAAAATATTAAAATATCAAAATTTACACAAATTGTGGTATATATTGGTACATATAACTATAGCTTAGTTGCACTCTTCTAGAAAACACAATTTTTAATGTGACCATAAAAGCTAAGTTAAAACACCTTAAATACCCAATTCCATGGAATTTTATTCTCATCAATGTATTAGGATTTTAATGAGTTGGTCATGTGAAATCCGTAGAAATATGTTCTGGGGGCTTTTATTACAAGCCTAATGAATAGTATAAATAGATCCCTTGGTGGTAAAACTTGAGAATAACTGGAAAGATTATATGTGTATAATAGATTATTATGTATGTTTTCAGCGCCATACAGCTACAGGTCGTCTACAGGGTTTGAAAGATCAAATCAAGAGTTCAAAGAAAGAATTAGAGTCAGCTATGTATAAAGATGCTAGTGAAAAATACAGAGATAAAGTCATCGATATGAGGGTAATTATCTTTTAAAATCCTGGTTTAATTTTTCACATGATTTTAATATGTAAACCTTTCATTTCATCAAGGCTTTTGTAAAAATTCCATTGAAAATTTTGTCCTGTGCCATATTCACAAACTTTTAAAGCCAACTCCATTATTTACCTTATTCTTTATCTGTTCACAATCTTTTAACAACTCAAATTAAAAGGAGATATAATTTGGCACTTTTACAATTTATAGTAGGTTTTTTCTTTACAGTCCAATGAATAATTTCTGCAAATTTTGAAATACAATCTGTCATTTCTCATCTGTGGAGTATTCACAAGTTGTTATACAAGAGTATAAGACAAGAAAGCTTGTTACCCTTGCAGAATAAGAAAGTCAATATTATCAAATTTTCCCTATTTATTTTCAGACAACAGAGCTGTCTAATAAAGATTTAGAGAAATATTACAAAGCCATGGACAGGTTAGTGATTTTTATATGCCAACATTGAAATGTCACCCGTCTCTCCTTCTGTGGTCAACTCTTTCTTGTGAACACTAGATAATAATTTCAAGCATTATTGCTTTGTAGAATATTGTGAACATTTTAACAAAATTTATTATCTAATTTCAGTTTAGTGAAATATGTCTACCTACCAGATTTCTTTATTTCCTATGATTACATTCAGAGTTATTACCCTTGATCAATTATAAAAAATCTTGAGGTTAAAATGATCATCTGATTGACTTGAAATGTATATGCAGTAGAATCTGCATTAAGCAGCCACCCAAGGGAATTTTCACAACTGACCGCTTAACGGGAGTGGCCTCTTAATAAAATCTCATTGCTTTTTGTGCTGACATAAATATTAAATTAAATATTACGCTTGGAAGCGGTAAATTTGGCCGTCGCTGAATCTTGCGCCGAACGAAAATTCTTTACTCAAATCTCGGACATAACTTAACGGGAGTGGCCTTTTAATAAAATCTTGGTGCTTTTTGTGCTGACATAAATTAAATATTACGCTTGAATGCATTGGAAGCGGTAAATTTGACCGTCGCTGAATCTTGCGCCAAACGAAAATTCTTTACTCAAATCTCGGACATAACTTCTGTAAACTTGTCATTTTGTACCAACCTTCGATACTACTGTCTACCATTGTGATGCATTCCATAATATTTATCCATTTTTGTGAAGAAAATCGATGAATTCATTTTATTTTATCAAAAAAGCACATGGACAAAAAAAACATCGCTAATTTCATGACCTATTTACAGGGGGTGTAACTCTGTTTGTAATATTATAGGAGGCGCTAAGAGAGATACTAGATGATCGTGACAAAACTCGGTACTTTTATTTTATTCAATCAGTATCAAATAATGTGTCGTTACGCGTGAAAACAATGATCAGGTTAGTTGTTTAATAAAACAAAAGATTAATTAACAGATAACCCCGGGTTGATTGTTATTTTTACATTTCTTTTTATCTGATCAGTGGGGGTCCAGTTAATTAACTACTACTCACAGGATTAGTGGGGGTGTTACAAAGAACGACAAGATGGTATCATTCAACAATGGCCGTTGAATGGGCGATGTTTTGTTGAATTTATTAGTAAAATAGTGACTGCTGGCCGCGTTAGAGGAGTTACCGTGGAAAAAAGAGATGAAACAATAGAATTTCTACGGGGGGAATTTATCGTGACCGCTTACAAGGAGATGTCGCTGAATAGGAGTGGCTGCTCATACAGATTCTACTGTACAGTAGAATCTGCATTAAGCAGCCACCCAAGGGAATTTTCACAACTGACCGCTTAACGGGAGTGGCCTCTTAATAAAATCTCATTGCTTTTTGTGCTGACATAAATTAAATATTCCGCTTGGATGTATTGGAAGCGGTAAATTTGACCATCTCTGAATCTTGCGCCGAACGAAAATTCTTTACTCAAATCTCGGACATAACTTAACGGGAGTGGCCTCTTAATAAAATCGTGGTGCTTTTTGTGCTGACATAAATTAAATATTACGCTTGAATGCATTGGAAGCAGTAAATTTGACCGTCGCTGAATCTTGCGCCAAACGAAAATTCTTTACTCAAATCTCGGACATAACTTCTGTAAACTTGTCATTTTGTACCAACCTTCGATACTACTGTCTACCATTGTGATGCATTCCATAATATTTATCCATTTTTGTGAAGAAAATTGATGAATTAATTTTATTTTATCAAAAAAGCACATGAACAAAAAAACATCGCTAATTTTATCACCTATTTACAGGGGGTGTAACTCTGTATGTAATATTATAGGAGGTGCTAAAACGTCTGTTTAACAATAAAGTGGCAATGGAAAAGAGATATTAGATGATCGTGACA